GGCTCATCTGGACCAAGGGTGAGTCTCCCCCTCAGTTTCCCCTGAAGGATCTTCCGTCGCTTTTGCCTTCTCCCTATGTCTTCCCTCTGTTAAAATCCCCACACACACACACACACACTTATTTTCAGGCGGATAGATTTCGTGTCTGAGCATTCTCACATGACGGTGGGACTTCCCCCCCCCCTAAAAACAGTTAAATAAAGAAAAAACAATACATCCTCATGCAAGAACTTTTCTGCTTCCGATTACCCCCATGCTTACAAGTTGCAAAGGAAACACGGAAGCAGGGAAGCGGCTGCCCAGCTCCGGAGCTCCACACCATTTTTTTTTCAGAGGGAATCTGACTCGAGTATAAGCCGAGGGGTTTTTTTTCAGCACAAAAAATGTGCTGAAAAACTCAGCTTATACTCGAGTATATACGGTAATTATAAATGTGATCAATTTTTCCATTTGTAACAACTTTCCCCATTTCTTTTTCCTCAGCATGACCATTTTCCAGTTTACCTACCTGTTGCTTAACTTCATGAACGCTACATGTATCACTGTTCTTTTATAGTGATAAACATGTGCATGCTTCTATATGTGTGGTCCTCTCTTTAGATTATCTTGCTTTATATTATTTACTTATATGCTCTGAGTGTGCAGTACAGCTGCAACCAGAACTCACAAATGTAGGAACAGAATTATCAAATAACTGCCTCTTAATACATTGAATACACATTATGTATGTCTCCTGAGACTTCAAGTCATCTTTCTGTTTCCCCCTCCCCATTATGATCAAATCTACCAATTGTGACACTGAATTTTACATAGGTCAGTAAGTGACAGAGGCTGTATTGAATTCGTAGATGAGCAGTGAACTCTTTTGTCCAAGACAAATTCCTTGTGTGTCCAATCACACTTGGCCAATAAAGAATTCTAATTCTAATTAGAATATATATGATAATAACTGTTTATGATAATGGGAAAAAAATAACCATGAAAATCTCCAGAAGGACCTCATTAACCTGGGTGAATGTCAGGTGACATATTATGCAGTTCAATTTAAATAAATACGAAGTGAAGTGCTGCAAAAGACACAAATGCCATGCATGCTCTAACGGGGCGGAGCTATCTGTAACTAATCAGGAAAAATATCTTACAGTCATTATACGTGGCTTATTGAAGATGTTGGCTTAGTATAGGAGAAAAAAGCAAATTACATGCTTCACGAAAATGTGATTTTTTAGAAGAACATTACAACTCCAGCTGATTGTGGACTATATTTTCTATTAAATAAAGACATCTACTATATTGACAAAGTTCCTTTTAAATAACAGAATAATCAGACATATAATTGTTATAATATGTCATTATGAAGGAACCAAGTTTTTGAAGTATTAATATTTGTAGTTTCCCTGTAAATCAATTAGGCATTAAGCAATCCATGAACATGAAATATGTTGAAATAAATAGTTCTGATGGTTTTCCTCTGTGAACATTTAAACCTCTGTGAACATGCAATTGGGCCCCACTAGGCACCTCAAAACGGGAAACCAAATAGTACTATTCTGAATGCTAATAATACTTTTAATATAATATAGTAATAGAATCTTGCAAATCTGAATATACTTCCCCCTTCCTTCGTTTTGCCTTTGTAAGAACTAGGGACGGTTCCGTCTGAGATTTGTATTTCTTTTATCTGACTAGTATTTTATTTGGGGCTCCCCTTCTGTTCCTCAAGGTTATTTTTTCCTGCACATTACAGGATATCTCTTGAAGGTTAAAGTATAACAAGCCAAGTTTCATTCCTCAGTTTGTTAATTTTTAACTGCTTGGTCTATGACAGGTATAGTCAACCCCCACTTGGCAGAAATACTAAGCCCAGGCATGACCAAAAAAAAAATTAACCACCAATCCATAAAGCTTCACTTAAAAATAGCATTGGCCATCGGGATTTTGGACTGCCCAGAATGAGCCATTCTGCCTAGTAGAATGAGCACCAATACTTGGAGCAGTCATAGCAGACTAGCAAAGGGATATGTATGAACTTTTGACTTCAGGAGCACCTCGTACTTTCCTTCAGGGAATAAATATTGTGTGGTTTGTATTGGCCATGTAATAACTTTTATTTCTATATTCAGATATGAGCTTTAAAGCTTTTTGTCTGTTAGACCCTGCTTTGTAAAACATATTCTAAGAATTCATAGAAATAGGATTGAAAGAGATCAAGGTGTAAAAAAAAATTATACATGGCAATGCCATGGAAAAATTTGGCCGAGATAAGATTTTCTCCTTGTTTTAAGCTACAAGACCCAGGGTTCTTTTAGGCCACAGGAGGAGGAGTTATTCAGTGAAACTGATCAAAAGGAGATTTAGAACAGACAAAACAACAAAACATCTTTACATTTTATTTGATTCTCCATGCTGGACCAAGAAATAATATGGAATGTCACATCAAAATGCTTGCAGCTTCCATGGCCTGGAGATCAGTCACCACTGCCCCTTTTTTCTCTTGGCTTGTTAACAAGATTGACAAAAGCTGTTGAAAAATCTAAAAGGTTATATAGTTTGTGCTTGCATAATTAAAAATATTAAGGTAACATGATTCTACAACTTTTGTAAAGTAAGTGTTCTAAAATTACTCCCTTTAGTTATCCACTGAACTGACATCAAAATTTAAAATTTTATTGAATGAGGGAATCAGCATGGAAAACAGAATGAGAGTCTCATTAAATTATGCATTTAAATCCTCACAGCTTACATCTTGGTGTTAAAGATACATTTAACATTACTCCTTTTCTCTAATGAAAACTCACTCTCTTTCATATTTTGATTGAGTACACCAATTACTAAATATATTTACACAGCCAAGCCAACATATCCTTCCTCGCTTCCTCAATGTAAGGTTTATCTTGAGGATTAATATCTTCTTTCTTGCGGTGTACAAAGCCGTGTGTCTGCCCAGGATATATTTTCACTTCAAAATCAACTTTGCATTGCTGTTCCAACTTCTTTGTTATCTGAGTAATCTGTAACAGAAAACTCCCTTTTATTATGGTATGAAATTATTTTTATCTTATGTCAAATCCAGAGTCCCCTTATCTTCTCTCAGCTCATTGGGAGTTGAGACATTTATGTACTCAGCCTATATACTTCTTGTGATATCCATGTCTTTACAGGTACAGTAATTAAACAGAAATTTATTGCAATTCAGTATCCTGGGACTCAAATTCTATAGTACCATTTTTGGATGAATTATACATTTTGATGATTAACATAGGTTTGCATGATCACACAAAGAGGGTGCAGCTAAAGAGCTAAGATGGTGGCCAGATTCCTAGAAGCCAACTATTCTGGTAAAGTATGCCAATATAGTTGCATGATTATTTTGTGATATGCCCAATTAAACTTGGCCAATTCAAGTTTTGTCCTATATGAAGATTTAGAATTCTGTATCTTAAAAATATGAAAAATCTTGTGATTCATAATGTTATTTTAAGGTTTGCACTAGGAGTGCAAGGATGGCTTAATTAGCCTTCTAACATTAATGCCAAACATCATTATTATTATTATTATTATTATTATTATTATTATTATTATTATTATTATTATTATTATTATT